AAGGAGGAGGAGGATGAGGAGGAGGAGGAGGAGGAGGAAGAGGAGGTGTGAAGAGTAGTATGCCTCCGAGCGGAGGCGTGGCCAAAATATCCCGCCAGGCGCTCGCATGCAGTCAGCGTATATCTGAAGCCCCTTTTGGCCCAGGGAGAGACAAAACATTTAGATGGTAGCGGAGCCGTGAGGCTCCACGCGACCTTTCATAGTGGGCTCACGGCATATTTCTTTCAGAATCAATGGAGCAGTTGATCCAGCAACTGCAGGATCAGGTGGCAACGTTGCAACAGCGCCAGCAGCCGATGGAAGAGATGGTCCAACAGTTGCAGCGACAGCGACAAGAGATTGACAGACTTCAGGCTGCAGAACGGGAGGCGCTGCAGCAACAGCAGCAACAAGATGTACGTATGGATGAGCTGAGAGCTGTAGCCAGAGGCAGCATGAAGACGGTCATCGACACGAAGAGCCTCGGCAAGCCGAAGGACTTCGACAACAAAGAAGAACACTGGCAGGAGTTTGCGTTCAAGTACGAGAACTGGATCAGCGGCATCGAGCCGCAGGCGCGGCTATACCTCAGATGGGCAGAGCTGAGTGGCGAGGAGATACGTAGATGATCTCGACTTGGATGACCCGCCGGACGCGCTCAGCCAGGATGAGATCAGGCACCTCGGGAGGCAGGTGTACGTGTCCCTCGCTCAGATGCTCACAGGTGAATCGCTGGATGTCTTGAGGAATGGCCGTGAAGATAATGGTCTTGATGCGTGGCGTCGGCTATGGAGGCGATGGGATCCGAAGACGGTCGGACGCAACAGGGCTGCCTACCTCAAGATAGCTCAGCCAGGCACGGCGAAGACGGTGGAGCAGGCGTCCAAGATGCTGGAGCAATGGGAAGCGCAGATCCGCGACTACGAGTCCAAGAGGAAGAAGGTGGTTAATGAAGAGCTCAAGTGTGCAGTGTTGACGGAGATGATGCCCAAGGAGGTGCGACTTCACCTCCAGCTCAATGCGAGGACGCTCACGGACTACACCACAATCAGGCAGGAGGTGCTGTCCTTCCTCGAGGCCAGGAAGAGCCACACCAGTGACGGTTCGGTACCGATGGATGTTGATGCCCTGCAGCGGAAGGGCAAAGACAAGAGCGGCAAGGGTAAGGACAGCAAAGGCAAGGGCAAGGACACGGACAACTCCCACTCCAAGAAGAACGTGACGTGCTGGAACTGCGGCAAGACAGGACACACGAGCAGTGAGTGCTGGACGAAGCCGCAGACAGATCATGACAAGAACAAGGCCCGTGGCAAGGGCAAGGACAACAAAGGCAAGGGCAAGGACTCCAAGGGCGACAAGGGCAAAGATGGCGGAAAGGGGAACTCCCAGAACCACTTCCGGGGTTACTGCGACAAGTGCGGGAAGTGGGGTCATCGCGGACAAGATTGCCGGGGTTCCAAGACGACGAACTCGCTGGAGACGAGCAACCAGCCGGAGCCTGAGATCGGCGGCTTCGACATCTGCGCGCTCGACGGTTACGGCAAGGACGAGACGGACAAGGACATGCAGCCCTACAAGGAGGTGAACAGCTACATGGTCGAGGCGACGGTGGACTCAGGTGCGGCGGTCAGCGTGATGCCGGTGAGCACGTGCCAGGAGTGCAAGGTGAGGCCGAGCGAGGCATCACGCAGAGGGGTCCGCTATCGGGCAGCTGGGGGACAGATGATCTCGGACCTCGGCACGCGCGTGGTGAACATCCACGCGGGAGGTCGCAACGGCGGCAAGGCTCGAGTGACGTGCTCGGTGGCCGAGGTGAAGAAGGTGCTCCTGAGCGTGGCCAAGATGGTGGACCAGGGCAACAGGGTGACGTTCGGCCCGAACGAGGGCGACAGCTACATCGAGAACATTGCCACCGGGGTCGCTATCCCCATCAGGCGTAAGAACGACGTGTATGTGATGGACATGGAGATCCAGCCGCCGAAGCAGCACGAGAAGTCGATGATGCTCGCAGCGGTGGACTCGGCCCAGTCGCTGGGGGGCAGGAGGCAGGCCGCGAGGCCGTAAGTCCGCCTAGCAGTGAGGACGAGGAGGCTCGGCGCTGGGTGACGCCCGTGTTCGAGGGCGGCAGCAGCGGGTCGGGCCAGGCAGCGGCGCCGGGCGAGCCCGGGCCAGGAGCTGAAGACGGCCGCGTCATCGAGATGGAGGCTGACGAGGAGGCAGCGGTGCCCGCACGGGTCGTCAAGGACCTGGAGGCGCCGACCAAGGAGGAGATCGAGCAGCACAACATCGGGCACATACCGTACAGGAGCTGGTGCAGGCACTGCGTGATGGGCCGAGGCAGGAGTGCGGCTCACCGCATGCTCGAGGCGGAGAAGTCACACGTGATCCCCACGGTCGGTCACGACTATGGCTTCCTCGGGCGAGATGATAATCCTGTGATGCCGATGTTGGTGGGCAAGAGCTTTCGAACGTTGTGGCTTGGGGCCGCGATCGTCCCATGCAAGGGCGACGCGAGCGAGTGCAGTGTTGGGGTCATGAGTGGCCAGATCACGCAGATGGGACATTCCAACTTCATCCACAAGACGGATCAGGAGTCAGCGTTGAAGGCGCTGAAGGAGTCAGCGCACCAGGCGCTGGGAACTGCGTACAGCGTGGTCTCGGAGGAGGCCCCGCGCGGCAGCAAAGAGTCGAACGGTGCGATGGAGAACGGTGCGATGCAGATCGAGGGCCTGGTGCGGACCCACAGGGGCGCACTGGAGATCTTGCAGGGCATCAAGGTCGAGCACGAGTCCGCGCTCGTGCCCTGGCTGGTGCTGTGGGCGGCGTACGTCTACAACCGGTTCTCCAGGGACGTCAACGGGAAGACACCATATGAGAAGACGAAGGGCAAGCCGTTTCGACGTGAGCTACTGCCTTTCGGTGAGCGCATCCACTGGCTCCCAGCGGACAAGAGCAAGAAGCGTGGCGATGCGCAGGGCATGAACAAGTTAGAGAACAAGTGGCGGACGGGGCACTTCCTGGGCGTCCAGGAGGGCAGCGACGAGGCGTTCGTCAGTGATGAGAATGGCGGCGTCTACCGAGCCAGGAGCATGAAGAGGCTCCCGGAGGTGATGCGCAAGTCGCCGGAGACGATCCTCAAGGTCAAGGGCGTGCCCTGGAATCGGACGCCAGAGGATGTGCCGGCGCCTCAAGTGCGAGTGGAAGTCGGACGACCAGATCCACCACCAGACGTGCCGCCGGTGATCGAGACGCCACCGGAGCCAGCAGTGGTTCGGCGGAGAACGTACGTCACCAAGGCCATGATTGAGAAGTACGGTTTCACGCCAGGATGTCGAGGGTGTGAGGCTTTACTCATCCACGGCACGACGCACGTGAGTGGAGGTGGAGTTGCGCACTCGGACTTTTGCCGAGCGCGTATCGAGGCGGCAGGGCAGCGAGCGCCTGCTGCTCCTGCAGCAGCGCCCAGCCCGCCGGCAGTTGCGGAGGGGCCAGCGGGAGGTGCCGCCCAGGCCCCGGAGGCAGCCGAGAGATCACCTATGGAGGTGGAGGCGCAGCTGGCACCGCAGGGCAGCAGCGCAGGACCCGCGCAAGGATCCCAGATGGAGGATGTGCGGGGGAGTCAGAAGCGCAGGGCTAGCGAGGAGTTGCAGCAGGATGAGGTCAGGCAGTACGAGGTGGTCGAGGAGACCAGCGTGCCGACGGCCAGGATGGACTACCTGGAGGGTGGCAGGATGCTGAGCGCGCTGGGCTACGACGTCCACGTGAGCGAGGTGTGCAACCCGGAGAGGTTCAAGGAGGAGGCCGAGGCGATGGGTCTTGCCTTCGGCCATGCCTTCGACCTGCAGCTCCAGAGGCCGGACGGAGGAGGTCCGTGGGACTTCTCCCGGTCGCAGGACAGGGTGCTGGCGAAGGAGATCCTGAAGGTCAAGAGACCGCTCCTGCTGATCGGGAGCCCGATGTGCAGGATGTTCAGCTCGCTGATGACCTTCAACCGGAAGCACTACAGCAGCGAGGACTGGGAGGCGATGAAGCAGGACGCGATCAGTCATCTCGAGTTCGTGTGCGAGCTCTATCAGTGGCAGGACGATGCTGGGCGGTTCTGGCTCCACGAGCATCCAGACCGTGCGACGTCATGGCAGGAAGAGTGCGTGAAGGAGCTGCTGAGTAGAGAGAGTACCAAGAGGGTGCGCAGCGACATGTGCCAGTTCGGCATGACGGCGCTCGACGTCGACGGCAGCTGGCAGCTGGTGGTCAAGCCTACTGGGTGGGCCACCAACTCCGACCAGATAGCGAGGCAGCTGGCAAGGAGGTGTACGAACAAGGAGGAGCCTCCGTGGCGACAGCACCGCCACGTTGAGCTGGTCGGGAACAAGGCAAAGGGCTGCGAGGTTTACCCGATTGAGTTGGTTCGGGCGATCCTTCATGGGTTGGTGGACGAGCTGAAAGACCGAGGTGAGTGGCACGAGGGCGAGCTCGGGACGGTTGATGCTGAAGAGAAGGAGCCGGAGTGGGACGACCACCAGGAGCTCTGGGCGCCCAGCAGCGGGCGCGACGTCTACGACTCGCTCACGGGTCTGAAGTTGGACCCGAGTCTGGTGGCGGAGGCCAAGCAGGACGAGCTCAAGGAGATCAGGGCGTTCGGGGTCTACGAGAAGGTTCCCATCCAGCAGTGCTGGGACGAGACGGGAGCGGCGCCCATCGGCGTCACGTGGGTGTGCGTCAGCAAGGGCGACGATGAGAAGCCTGATGTGCGCGCTAGGCTGTGCGCGCAGGAGATCAAAGCGAAGGACCCGGCACGAGAGGGAGTCTTCGCCCCGACGCCGCCGATCGAGTGCCTCAAGCTGTTGTTCAGCCTGGGCATGACAGGGGAAGAGAACAAGTGCGAGCCTGACGCGTTCATGGTGCTGGACGCGACCAGGGCTCATTTCCACAGCCCGGCGACCCGACGGGTCTTTGTGAGGCTGTGTGACGAGGACTACCAGGAGGGCTACTGTGCCCTACTTCGGAAGAGCATGTACGGGACCAGGGATGCGGCGGCGAACTGGGAGCTGTTCTCATCTACAGTTGCTCGGGATCACGCCGGCCTCAAGCCTGGAGCGGCGAACCCGTGCCTGTTCTGGAACGAGAAGCTTCGCGTGAGGTGTTTCAAGCCGGGGACGACTTCGTGCTGGGAGGCCAGCGCGAGTCGATCAGACAGGTCAAGGAGGAGCTAGGCAAGCATATCAAGCTCAAGGAGAAGGGCGTGCTCGGGTTGCATCCAGAGCTGGGAGACACGCAGGAGGTTCGAATCCTGAACCGGCTCGTGTCCATGAAGATGAAGGAGGGCAAGCAGGTGCTCGCCGTGGAGGCGGACCCGAGGCACGCGGCGCTGATCATCGAGGAGCTGGGGCTGAAAGGTTCCAGCAAGAGTCGGTCGACGCCAGGAGAGAAGGTGTCGGGTGTGCCAGACCTGACGCCGATCAAAGACGAGATCGAAGTGCGGAGGTTCCGATCGTTGACCATGCGGGCCCACTACTTGGCGGAGGACAGGTACGACCTGAAGTTTGCGAGCAAGGAGTTGGCGCGCGAGATGAAGTGCCCCACGGTGTCGGGCATGGCCAAGCTCAAGCACCTTGGCCGGTTCCTGCTCAAGAAGCCCAGGTGTGTGCAGGAGTTCGCATGGCAGGATCGACAGCACAAACTTGTGACATACTGCGATTCCGACTGGGGCGGATGCGTGGTCACCAGGAAGAGTATTACGAGTGGATGTGTGCAGCACGGCAGCCACAGTATCAAGCAGTATAGTTCTACGCAGCAGACCCCATCATTGAGTAGCGGTGAGGCAGAGTTCAATGCGTGTGTGAAGGCGGCTGCGGTGTGTCTTGGAGCTCAGGCCTATGCCGCAGATCTGGGTGCTACGCTGGTGGCCGCTATCGGCACAGACTCCAGCGCGGCGCTGGGCATGATGAAGAGGTCAGGGCTAGGTCGAGTCAGACATATCGCGGTGCCACTACTGTGGATCCAAGATGCCGTCCGTGAGTCTCGCATCAGAGTCTTCAAGGAGAAGGGCCTGGAGAACGTCGCGGACGCCGGCACGAAGTACCTGAGCGGGCCGAAGCTGGAGGCGATCATGGAGCGCCTCGGCTACGTGTACCAGGCCGGAGAGAGTGCTCTGGGTCTCCGCGTGCAGCGGGGAGTAGGGGTTTGAGCAGGCTGCGGCGTACAGTGCGCGGGTGCGGGCACGGTGAATGACCGACGCCCTACCCGCGAGGAGGAGTGTGAAGAGTAGTATGCCTCCGAGCGGAGGCGTGGCCAAAATATCCCGTAGTATGCCTCCGAGCGGAGGCGTGGCCAAAATATCCCGCCAGGCGCTCGCATGCAGTCCGCGTATATCTGAAGCCCCTTTTGGCCCAGGGAGAGACAAAACATTTAGGAGGAGGAGGAGGAGGAGGAGGAGGAGGAGGAGGAGGAGGAGGAGGAGGAGGAGGAGGAGGAGGAGGAGGAGGAGGAGGAGGAGGAGGAGGAGAGGAGGAGGAGGAGGAGGCAGGAGGAGGAGCAGGAGGAGGAACAGGAGGAGGAGGAGGAGGAGAGGAGGAGGAGGAGGAGGAGGAGGAGGAGGAGGAGGAGGAGGAAGGAGGAGGGAGGAAGGGGGAGGAAGGGAGGAGGAAGGAGGAGGAAGGGAGGAGGAAGGAGGAGGAGGAGGAGGAGGAGGAGGAGGAGGAGGAGGAGGAGGAGGAGGAGGAGGAGGAGGGGGAGGAGGAGGGAGGAGGATGGAGGAGGAGGAGGAGGAGGAGGAGGAGGAGGAGGAGGAGGAGGAGGAGGAGGAGGGAGGAGGAGGAGGAGGAGGAGGAGGAGGGGAGGAGGAGGAGGAGGAGGAGGAGGAGGAGTGGAGGAGAGGAGGAGGAGGAGGAGGAAGGGAGGAGGAGGAGGAGGAGGTAGGACGGAGGAGGCAGCGGAGGAGGAGGAGGAGGAACAAGGAGGGAGGAGGCGGAGGAGGAGGAAGAGGACCCCGAGGGTCTTCGAGGGTTCCGCGGGTCTCCAAGGGGTCCGAGGGTGTCCAAGGATTTGCCTGGGGGGCCGGTTCGGTTCCAGCCGGTTCGGTTTGGGCGTCCGGGCCTGTTTCGCCTCGCCAGTTCGGTTCGACGCGGCCGGTCCGGTTCTGACCGGTTCGGTTTGGAGTCCGGTTCGCGCGGTTCGGTTCGTTCGGCCGCCGGTTCCCGGTTACCAGTTCGGTTCAGACTCTTCCTGCTATCCAGCGGCCGCCGGATGGGTATTTGCCGGGAGCTGGCTGGGTAACCCGACCCATCCAGCGGCCGCCGCCGCCGCCTCCGCCGCCGCCGCCGACGACGACGACGATGACGACGACGGCGAAGACGAGGGCGACGACGAAGGCGACGCGGGGCCAGGTAAAGGCCCTTTTCCGGAGGGCGAAAATGGTCAAACACCTCCCGTCGTGTTTTTTGTCACGGCGCGGGGGGGCTTGGTTTTCGGGCAATTAGTTACCTCGGGCCTCTGGCGGCCTTTTCGGGACGATTTCCGGGCACATCCAGGACGCCGCCCTCGGCGAGGCGCGGCTGCCGGAGAGCACCCCGCTGCGAGAAGATCTCACCACAGCCTCAGCCTCAGCCTCAGCCTGCCTCAGCTTCAGCCTCATCCTCAGCCTGCCTCGGCTTGCCTCGGCTTGCCTCAGCCTCAGCCTCAGCAGCCTCGGCTCAGCCTCCTTCAGCCTGCCTCAGCCTCAGCGTCAGCCTCTCAGCCTCAGCCTGCATCAGCCTCAGCCTCAGTCTCAGCCTGCCTCAGCCTCAGTCTCAGTAGCCTCAGCCTCAGCCTTCAGCCTCAGCCTGCCTCGGCCTCAGCCTGCGTCAGCCTCAGCCTCAGCCTGCCTCAGCCTCAGCCTGCCTCGGCCTCAGCCTCAGCCTGCCTCGGCGTGCCTCAGCCTCAGCCTCAGCCTCAGCCTGCCTCGGCCTCAGCCTGCCTCAGCTCGGGCATTCAAAATATGGCACAGCACTTGTGTTCTGGGAACACGAAGATCACGAAGTGACCCACAGTTGGCTCCGGGCAATCAAAATGTGGTACAGAACTCGTGTTCTGGGAGCACGAAAAACACGAGGTGGCCTACAGTTGGCTCCGGGCATTCAAAATGTGGCCTGGGAGTGGTGTTCTGGGAACACGAAGAACACGAAGTGGCCTACAGTTGGCCCCGGGCATTCAAAATGTGGCCTGGGAATTGTGTTCTGGGAACACGAAGAACACGAAGTGGCCTACAGCTGGCTCCAAGCAATCAAAATATGGCCTGGGAATTGTGTTCTGGGAACACGAAGAACACGAAGTGGCCTACAGTTGGCTCCAGGCATTCAAAATGTGGCCTTGGAATGGTGTTCTGGGAACACGAAGAACACGAAGTGGCCTACAGGTGGCTCCAGGCATTCAAAATGTGGCCTGGGAATGGTGTTCTGTTGGCTCCAGGCAGTCAAAATGTAGCTCCTGGCAATAAACATGGTGAGTCCCCGGATTCCCGCGGCACCCGTCCGGCATCTGCCCAGGGGAGTCATGATGCTTTCTCTTTTGAGACCACTAGAGACCTATCGGTCTTCCATGTTAGGTAAAAATGTGAGCCGCGCGCGCGCGCTCAAAGTGCGAAGGTAACCAACAACGAATCAATCAACACTGGCCTGCTCGCTGCGCCTGGCAAGTAACATCCCTATCATGTCGGAGGAAATTGCTCTGCGGGCCGGTTCGGGCTTCAACAACGCCTCCAAGCACGCCAGTGTTATGCCGTCGTGTTCTGAGCGCTCACCCCCCTCCAGGCTGCCGCCAGATGGGTATCTGCCGGGTGCCGGCTGGGTACCCATACCCATCCAGCGACCGCCGGATGGGTATCTGCCAGGTGCCGGCTGGGTACCCCGACCCATCCAGCGCCAGATGGGTATGCCGCCGGATTTGTATCTGAGCGCCCCCCCCCCCTCAGGGCTGCCGCCGGATGGGTATCTGCCGGGTGCCGGCTGCGTATACCCCATCCAGCGGCCGCCGGATGGGTATCTGCCGGGTGCCGGCTGGGTACCCCTACCCATCCAGCGCGGGATGGGTATGCCGGATGGGTATCTGAGCCCCCCCTCCCTCTTGGCTGCCGCCAGATGGGTATCTGCCGGGTGCCGGCCGGGTACCCCTAACCCATCCAGCGGCCGCCGGATTGGTATTTGCCGGGTGCCGGCTGGGTTCCCCTACCCATCCAGCGCCGGATGGGTATGCCGCCGGATGGGTATCTGAGCGCCCCCCCCTCAGGGCTGCCGCCAGATGGGTATCTGCCGGGTTCTGGCTGGGTGCCCCTACCCATCCAGCGGCCGCTGGATGGGTATGTGCCGGGTGCCGGCTGGGTACCCCTACCCATCCAGCGCCGGATGGGTATGCCGCCAGATGGATATCTGAGCGCCCCCCCCCTCTCAGGGCTGCCGCTGGATGTGTGGAGATGTATCGCCCCCGACGCCCTTCCGTGCCTCCCCTACATATCCCTTTCCCGCTCTCACCCATGCACTGTACTGAAGCCGTTTTGGCGCTGAGGATTTGAGAGTGAAACGGATCGGCATCGTTTATTGCTGTCAAGATGGCAGCGGAGCGCGGGTGACACTGACCCGCAGATCCACGGAGCTCGGCTTGCCTGCCTGTGAGGCAGCTGAACGGCCGCGATGAGCGTGGAGGCTCTCGCGCAGGAGTTGTTGGAGACGAAACGCGAGCTGGGCCGACTGATGGAGACGGTCGAGAACCAGAACCAGACGATCACAGGGCTCCAGACGGAGCGAGCCGACGCAGAGGCAGCGAATCGGCAGCAGTCGACGAAGGCGTTCGCCAACGCGATCATAGGAGACAAGGGCAAGCCGCCGACCTTCGACAACATGAAGAAGCCAGACTTTCACGACTGGGCATTCAAGTTCAAGGCGTACATCGGCAATCAGAGTCGGAAGTGCTTGGAGGGAATGACCCAGGTTGAGTACAGCCAGAACCAGCTGAACTACGCCAACTACGACGACGAGTGGAGACAGATGGCGCAGTCGTTGTTCTACCAGCTCACAATGTATACGGAGGGCACCCCGCTCGGCATCATCCGCAAGGTCAGCAACCAAGACGGATTCGAGGCGTACCGCAGGCTGAGCTCCCAGTATGACCCTCAGAACATGGGCAGCATCCTGTCGAGACTGATGAGGGTGCTGGAGTTCGACTTCGGCGGAGAGGCGGAGTTCCTTGAGGCCATGGCGAAGTTCGAGATCTCGATCGAGGAGTACGAGAAGCTGGCGAGCGAGGCACTCAGCGACAACATCCGCTCGGCGGTCTTGATCGCGCGAGCCCCTGATGCCTTGAGGAACCACGTGCTGCTGGGAACACCCAAGGAGGAGATCCAGTGGGCGAGGATCAAGAAGGTGGCCGCCGACTTCCTGCTCACGAAGCAGTCCATGCCTGGTGGCCCTGCGCCGATGGACATCGGCGCCATCAACAGCAAGGGCGGAAGAGGACACGGCAGGGCCAAAGGCAAAGGCAAGGGCAAAGGCAACGACACCAGAGGTAAGGGCAAGGACAGGAGCAGCGGCGGTGGCCTCGCCGGCGGAGAGAAGAAGTTCCAGGGACACTGCGGACGATGCGGCAAGTGGGGGCACGAACAGAAGGACTGCTACGCCAAGATCCACAACGTGAGCACCTGGGACGGCAGCGCCTGGGACGGCAACACCTGGGACGAGAAGTGGGGGAGCTGGGACGCCACCAACGAGAAGGAGAAGGGTGCGGCTTCCTCCCACGAGGACGCCAGCGCCTCCATCAGTGCCAACGCCCTCCAGTGCTCCGAGTTCGAGGGCGCTGCGTGGATCTTCGCCGTCGGCGCGCTTGAGGGCCCGAGCGGGACAAGAGTTGGCCAGGCGGTTGTTATCATGGTGGACACTGGCGCCAACAAGTCGGTGTGCGGGCCCAGCGACTTCCCCGACTACCCCACCATGCAGGACAAGAGGCTGGAGATCAAGGTCGCCAACGGGACCTCCTTGAAGCACTTCGGCGACAAGCAGGTGAACTTGAAGACACAGAACGACGACGAGATCAGTGTGATATTCCACGTCGCGGAGGTGACGCAACCGATCCTGAGCGTCAACAGCATCAACAAGGCAGGAGCTGGGGTGGAGTTCCCACCGTCAGACTCGACGGGCCCACCCTCGATCACGCGGGATTCGAGGAGCGGGCGATCGCGGCTTGGGCTGAAGAGGAGGCTCGGCCTGTTCTTCCTGCGCGCGACGGTGTTGAGCTACGTCGGCACCAAGATCGGCGCGGACGGCCTGGTCGTCAACAACACGGCGACGGGCGTCCCCGAGGAGTACATCGCTGCGCAGGTGGACCAGCCGGTGGAGCAAGAGGTCAGGCCCGAGGCTACGGTGATGACGGCGCCAAGGCAGCCGACACGAGCCGAGAGGGAGGCTCACGAGGCCCTCCACTGTCCATACGCAGCGTGGTGCGCGGACTGTGTAGGGGGGCGAGGCCTGGACGACAGGCATGAGAGGATCAAAGAGGCAGAGGGTGTGCCTGTGATCCAGATCGACTACATGTTCGGCAAGACGCATCGTGACGAGAGAGTGCGCCCAGTCATGAATGCTATCGACAACGTATACCACTCTACGGCCTCGGCATGGTGCGAGGCGAAGGGTGGGGGATACCTGTTTCTCCTGAAGTGTCTCAAGCGGTACGTGGAGAAGCTCGGGTTTGAGAAGGTTATCATCCAGTGCGACCCCGAGAATGCGGCCAAGGACGTGGCGGCCAAGGTCGCGAGGGACATCGGCAACAACGCGACCTTCAGGTACACGCCGACGACGAGCAAGGGGGGGCAACGGCATGGTGGAGAGGCCCCGCTCGTTCACGAGGGTATGGCGAGGACCTGGAGGAGAGCCATCGGGGCGAAGTACGGCATCGTGATCGAGTTGAGGCATCCCCTGATGGCCTGGATCGTGCGCCACGCGTCGTGGACCCACGATCGCTTCCTCGTCCACCGCTCCGACTACAAGACGTCCTACGAGCGTCAGCACGAGAGGCACTATGCCAAGAAGGTCCCACCACTCGGCGAGACGGTTATGTGGAGGCAGCCTGGGCCCATCGCCGCCAAGTTCGAGTCCGCGTGGGGCTACGGCATCTATCTCGGGCGGTCGTCGGAGGACGACTCCCGCATCTGCGGCGCCAGGCACGGCATCGTTGTGGCGAGGTCCATACGGAGGCTCGTGGAGAGCGAGCGCTACGACAAGCAGCTGCTCCTGGCCACGAAGGGCATCCCGAGCGACACGAAGGCGCCGAATGCATCTACGCCAGTAGCAGACAGACCAGCCCTCGACCTCAACCTCCCGCAGCCCGCCAGGCTTCCGCGACCTGCGGACGCCGCGCCCGAGGAGGGGCAGGCGGGCCCCCAGGATGGGGGGGGTGGGGTTCGAGGAGCCGCAGGTTGGGGGACCCAGGAGGTGCTGAGGCAGCCGCTGGCGGCGACGAGGCCATGGACGACGTCGAGGACGCACCGCAGCCCGTCACGAAGAGGCCGAGGGGCCGACCAGCTACGCGAGCGCTTCCAGACCCGATGTCAAGAGAGTTTACCCCAGGCTGTAGTGGATGCTTGGGCACATCGTACCGTCATTCAAACTTCTGTCTTGAGAGGAGGGGGTTGCCTCCTAACGAGCCGCGTAGCAAGCGGGCCGCGGCGGAGAGCGCAGCTGCACCTGAGGTGAAGCGTGCAGCAGTCGAGGAGCCTGAGAGCTCGGCTGACAAGCGGGCCAGCGATGAGGCGCCTGCGGAAGGCGAGGCGCACAAGGAGAGGTGAATTGGTACGGTGAAGGTTGGCAGCGTGTCCGTCGCCAACTTGATGGGCTACCCCGACGACACCGAGCTCTGCACGCCGTGCGAGCTCGACCCCAACTTTCGAGCTGCTGAGCGAGGTGCACTACGACGACGACGACGGTGAGCGTCTCGACCCCGACGCCGTCCGCGAGGTGATCAAGAGGGAGGCGAACTTCATGGAGTCCCTCGGCGTCGGTGAGGTCGCGGCGCGCCCCCGCGACAAGAAGGTGTGGGGCACGAGGTGCTGCCGCCGCAAGAAGGGTGAGGGGGTTCGCAGCAGGTTCGTCGTGAAGCAGTTCAGGGACGCCCAGGCGGGGGATTTCTTCGCCTGCACCCCGCACACGGAGGCTGTGCGCGTGCTGATGGCGGCGGCGCTGATGCTCAAGCACGTCGTCGTGACGACGGACTTCAGCGTGGCGTTCATGCGCACGCCCGTGAAGGACGGCACCGAGATCTACGTGGAGATGCCGCCCGAGTACGGCATGGGGCGTGGATACGTGTGGAGACTGAAGAGGTCTCTGTATGGGCTCAGAGAGGCAGCGCTCCGATTCCAAGAGTTCCTGGAGAGCATCGTGGTCGGGATTGGATTCAAGGTCTGCAAGGCGGAGCCCACCATCTACCATCACACCGAGAAGGGCATCAGGGTCGTGGTCCACACGGACGATCCTCTTGCTTCAGGTCCCACGCGGGGAGTGCTCGACGAGTTCTTCGACGAGTTGGCCAAGCACCTCGCGATCAAGGGACGGTGCGTCCTGGGCGAGACCCCCGTGATCTACCTCGGCTCGTCGCTGCAGAGGTTCGGGGACGTGATCGTGGAGAAGAGCAAGCCCGGGTACGTCGAGAGCATCCTCGACGCGGCGGGGATGCTGGGCTGCAGGCCTGTGGGCACGGCTGGGGTCAGGCCAGACCTCGCTCCGCCCGGAGCCGAGCAGCCGCTCAACAGCGAGGAGCACTCGCTGTACAGGAGGTGCTGCGGGAAGATCCAGTGCGCGATTCCGCGGAGGCTGGACGTGATGTACCCGCTGAAGGAGCTCGGTCGTCGGCTGAGCGAGCCGCGAGCGGCCGACATGAAGTCCCTGAAGCACTTCCTCCGCTACCTCAGCGGGGCGGTCGACCTGGCCATGGTCCACCGCTCCACGAAGGACTACAAGCGCATCCGGGGTAGCACCGACTCGGACTGGGCGGGATGCCACGAGACCCGCAAGTCGACAGCATGCGGGATCGTGCGGTGGTGCGGGGTGGTCGTCAGCGCCTACGCCCGCACGGAGTCCGTGCTCGCCCAGTCGAGCCCTGAGGCCGAGTACCTGGCGGCCGTGGAGCTGGCGGCGGAGATGCTGTACGTGAGGGAGCTCGTCAAGTTCATGGGCTTCAACACGTCGCTGGATTTCGAGTGCGACGCGTCCTCCGCCATCGCGATCGCCTCACGGCGTGGACTCGGCAGGTTGCGACATCTGGAGGTGAAGTGGCTATGGCTCCAGCAGCTGGTCGGTACGGGCCAGATCAAGATCGTGAAGGTGAAGGGCACGGAGAACCTCCCCGACGTTGGGACGAAGTTCCTGGGGAAGGGTGCGCTCGAGAAGTGCCGCACCATGCTCGGTCTGGTCCCGATCGACTCCCTCGGGAATGGCATCGTGGCTGCCCTGAGTGCGTCCCGAGGAGCACGGTACCTGGCGACGTTCATGGTCCTCGTGAACGGCGTGAGGGCCCAGCCAGGCACGCCCGACGGCGGACCCGACCCACACCTGGCGATCGTGGTGGCCTGGTCGGTCTTCTGCATGCTCGTGGGCGTGATGCCGTGCTGGTGCGGCTGGTGCCTGTGCCTATACCTCCCGAGGTCAGCTGCAGGACGGACGGGCAAGGGCTGCTCCAAGGGTCAGCCCAGTGAGAGTTCGGAGAGGGGCCGATCGGAGCCAGAACCCGATCCGCCTCCAGCACCCGACGCCCCCAGCGATCATTGCCGGGGGCCGTCGGAGCCGCGTGGCAGGGGCGTGCTGCTGTTCCATCTGGACACGGTCGGGACCTCGATCCACTCGAGTCCAAACTGCCAGGCTCTGCGCGATCGGCATCACCCGCTGGTGACGAGGAGCGGGTGCCTGATCTGCGCTCGGGTGCTGGGCCAGGGGGTGCGCATGCTGCACCACACGGACAGTGCCGAGAGTGCGGTCCACGCCGACGCTGCCTGCCGCGGGTTGAGGTCGCGGAGGCGCCGTCTCGTGAGCCGCGGAGCGTGTGCGTTTTGCTTTGGGCATCGTGGCTAGCGCCTGCCCCGCTGCGCGTGCGCCCTCGGCAAGAGGCTCGAGGAGGGGTGTCGAGATGTATCGCCCCCGACGCCCTTCCGTGCCTCCCCAACATATCCCTTTCCCGCTCTCACCCATGCACTGTACTGAAGCCGTTTTGGCCTTGAGGATTTGAGAGCGAAGCGGATCGGCATCGTTCATTGCTGTCAAGAGGATGGGTATCTGCCGGGTGCCAGCTGGGTACCCCTACCCATCCAGCGGCCGCCAGATGGGTATATCAGCCGGGTGCCGGCTGGGTACCCCTACCCATCCGGCGCCGGATGGGTATGCCGCCGGATGGGTATCTGAGCGCCCCCCCCCATGCAGGGCTGCCGCCAGATAGGTATCTGCCGGGTGCTTGCTGGGTACCCAGCGGCCGCCGGATGGGTATCTGCCGGGTGCCGGCTGGGTACCCCTACCCATCCAGCGCCGGATGGGTATGCCGCCGGACGGGTATCTGAGCGCCCCCCCCCCTCAGGGCTGCCGCCGGATGGGTAATTTCCTGCCGGGTGCCGGCTGGGTAATTACCCTTACCCATCCAGCGGCCGCTGGATGGGTACCTGCCAGGTGCCAGCTGGGTACGCCTACCCATCCACGCCGGATGGGTATGCCGCCAGATGGGTATCTGAGCGCCCCCCCCCCGTAGGGCTGCCGCCGGATGGGTGTCTGCCGGGTGCTGGCTGGGTACCCCTACCCATCCAGCGCCGGATGGGTATGCCGCCGGATGGGTATCTGAGCGCCCCCCCCCCCTTCAGGGCTGCCGCCGGACGGGTATCTGCCGGGTGCCGGCTGGGTACCCATCCAGCGCCGGATGGGTATGGGTATGCCGCCGGATGGGTATCTGAGCGCCCCCCCCCCTCAGGGCTGCCGCCGGATTGGTATCTGCCGGGTGCTGGCTGGGTACCCCTACCCATCCAGCGCCGGATGGGCATCCCGCCGGCTTGGTTCTCCTCCACCGCCCCCCCTCTACCAGGCCATCGCCCGGCGTGCACTCTGGCTGGGCGGGATCGAGGCCGCTGCCGATGCCAGGCTGTCGGGCATCGTGTCGAACCCCGCGGCGCTGGGAGGTCGGCTGCTGCTCCAGTGGAGAGACGCGGTCGCCAGCGTCGCAGAGGAGACCTTCGTGGATTGGTACATCCCCGGGCCGCGCACATGCTTGTGGTGCTGCAGATGCATCGACAGGCGACAGGGCGGCCCCCTCGATCACTTTCGGTTCACCCTGGGCCTGTCGTCGGACGACTACGGGGTGAATGATTACGAGGCCAGCATGCGAGCCATCTACACGATGGCGTGCTGGGACGGGCTCGACTTACCGAACATAGCAGGGGCTGAGCAGATCCCCCGGAAATGCCAGATGTATGAGCACGTCTACGTCGTGGACCGAGACCCGCACCACGCTGGCGCCAGCGCCGGAGACGGCGGAGGTGACGGGGGCGACAAAAAAAAAAGAGGACATGGCCGTGGTCGTGGCGGAGGGCGTCACAGCCTCCTGAGCTTCGGGTTCATCGACAAGAGCGCAGCTTTCACCGGTCTCAGCCGAGACCATGGGGAGAGCATGATTTGCCCTTTGCTCCTCGAGCACGTGGCGAAGGAGGTGGAGAGGGGCGCTTCGGCGTTGAAGCAAGTATGCAAGGCCCGCGAGGAGCAGCGGGCCTTGCGATTATGACGCTGTTCCTGCCACGCGGGCCGCTTCCCCCCGGCGGTCCGCGTGTCTCTGGAGGGGGGCCCAGCGGCGGTAGCCCGCCGCTCGCTGGTGACGTGAGCTTCGAGGGTGCAACAGGAGGTCGACAGCGAGATCTTTTTCCACTGCCTGAGCCCGGTCAACAGCATCGGGTACGTTCCGACGCGCCCGCTGGCATGCACTGCTCACCATCCGAGCCCAGCTCAGCCTCGCAGCGCTTGGCGTTTGGTTCGGGTGGCAGAGGGTGCCGGCTTGCGGGCGCACAGGCCGAGGGCGTCGTTTGTTCACGTTCGGTGGCTCGTCGAGAACCCCGGCGAGGTCATGCCGACTCGATGGCGGGCGAGGTTTTCCGCGCTACAGCGACCTGTGCGTTGGCCAACCTCATCGTCCTGGCGGCCTCCCTCAGTCAGTCTCTGCGGGTCAGCAGCGGGCCCTTGACAACGTTCGTGACGCCGTCCGACGGTTCGGTGGGCCCCCGGAGGGGCTGACTAGCTCAGGGGCCCTGGAGGAGCTCCGAGTTCTCAGCGACTACGCTGGCGAGAGTGCCACCGTCGCTCCGCTCGACTTTGATAATATCAACGGCCTCTCACTCCCGGACGCGGGCTTCAAGCCTGTGCCGCTTGGCGCGCTGGGCGGAGATGCTGGCCGTGAGATAGTCGAGCGGCTTCATGATATGATGTTGTCCCAGTCCGAGGGTCGTGCTCGGATCCAGTCCGAAGGCCCCCGGAAGCTATGCGCCGACCCGGCGCTGCGGAACCCGAAGCTGTGCATCCAGCTCTTGCGGGCCCATCGGGCGTCGGAACCTCATCGACTACTACGCTGACAAGACCTGCAGCGTAGGTGTGTTCTTCGTTTTCAAGAAGTCGGGGGAGCTGCGGCTCATCCTGGGCGGCAGGCGCGCGTCGCTGCATGTGCAGGTCCCCGACGTGATGGCCTTCGCGTCTGGCGCGAGCTTTGCGGGGCTCCACGTGGATGGCGGCGAGCCCATCGCGGTCGCGGAGGTTGACTTGGCCGACGCTTTTTACACGACGCTGCTGCTGCCGGAGTGCCTCGTCGTCTTCTGTTTGCGGGGCGCCTGTGCGGCGTTCGACGGCAGACTCACGATGGTGGACTCGTCGCGGTGGGGAGTCGGAGTCGCGCAAAAACGGTCTTCTCCCGAGGTTGCTCTTGAGCTTTCACGACGCAATGAGAGGTGGGGTTCAGCGTTCGTCAGGAATGCAAGGTATCTCATTG